TTAAAGAAAGAAAGAAGGATGGAAGGAAAGAAGGAAAGAAAGAAGGAAGGGAAGAAGAAAAGAAAGAAGGGAGGGAAAAGGAAAGAAAGAAGGGAAAAAAGAAGGAAGGGAAGAAGCAAAGAAAGAAGGAAGGGAGGGAAGAAGGAAAGAAAGAAGGAAAGAAGGGAAGAAGGAAGGAAAGAAGGGAAGAAGGAAGGAAGAAGGAAAGAAAAGAAGGAAGGGAAGAAGGAAAGAAAGAAGGAAGAAAGAAGGAGGGAAGAAGGAAAGAAAGAAGGAAGGAAGAAGGAAAGAAAGAAGGAGGAAGAAAAGAAGAAAGAAGGGAGAGGAGAAAGAAGGGATGGAAGAAGGAAAAGAAGGCTTGGAAGAAGGAAAGAAGGAAGAAGGAAGGAAAGAAGAAGAAGGAAGGAAAGAAGGAAGGAAAGAAGGAAAGAAAGAAGGAAGGGAAGAAGGAAAGAAAGAAGGAAGGAAGAAGGAAAGAAAGAGGGAAGAAGGAAGGAAAGAAGGAGGGAAGAAGGAAGGGAAGAAGGAAGGAAGAAGAAAGGAAGGAAGGAAGAAAGAAGGGAAGAAGGAGAGAAAGGAGGGAAGAAGGAAGAGGACGGAAGAAGGAAGAAGGGAAGAAGGAAGGAAAGAAGGGAAGAAGGAAGAGAAGAATGAAAGAAAGAAGGAAGGAAAGAAGGAAAGAAAGAAAGAAGGAAGGAAGAAGGAAAGAAGGAAGGAAGGGAAGAAGGAAAGAAAGAGAAAAGAAGGAAGGAAAGAAGGAAGGGAAGAAGGAAAGAAAGAAGGAAGGGAAGAAGGAAAGAAAGAGGGAAGAAGGAAGGAAAGAAGGGAGGGAAGAAGGAAGGGAAGAAGGAAGGAAAGAAGGGAGGGAAGAAAGAAGGGAAGAAGGAGAGAAAGAAGGGATGAAAGAAGGAAAGAAGGACGGGAAGAAGGAAAGAAGGGAAGAAGGAAGGAAAGAAGGGAAGAAGGAAGAGAAGAAGGAAGGGAAGAAGAAAAGAAAGAGGGAAGAAGGAAGGAAAGAAGGGAGGGAAGAAGGAAGGGAAGAAGGAAAGAAAGAAGGGAGGGAAGAAAGAAGGGAAGAAGGAGAGAAAGAAGGGATGGAAGAAGGAAAGAAGAACGGGAAGAAGGAAAGAAGGAAAGGAGTGAAGAGGAAAATAAAGAAGGAGGGAAAGAAAAAATTAAATAAAATTCAAAGTATGTGAGGCGGTATACATCCTTCAAATGATTCTGAATTTTGAGTTTTTGAACGTTTACGTGAGTATAACTTTCCGAGCAATGCTGCATAGTTTTCTACTCACAAATTAGAGAACTGTGTATTTCTCACGAGAATGCATAACCAATGGCAGTGACTGGAAAAATAGTGTTTGCTAGTTGAAAACTTATTGTATCCAATGGTAATGTTATAAAGAACTCTTTCTACATGGGAAGCATTCGACATTCATTGATATAACAATCAGAGTTACTGCCGCTTAAGATTTTTTTTCACGGAATTAGGCATCTAAAATCTGCTAAATTTTATAGTTCTTTTTAATTGTTACAGAAGTTTCTTTAGAATCTTTTTGTTCTTTGTAGTACGGAACGTTAGAATCATGATTATATCATTTTCTCTTCTATTTCATGTGATACTCATTTATGTTGTTACTACTGTTCAATATCTAAATCATGTAGGCTTTGTTATTTGCTTTAGCCTTTTGTGATTTTGTAGCAGTAGACTGATAGATCTGATGAAAGGTTGCGTTTAAGATTTACAGGATTTATTCGCTTTCAAACCATTTTTAATCATTGATTTGAGATAAAAAAAAGGTCATATATAAATAAGTTTGGACATCATTGAATGAGAATGGCGTCATTCATGAGATCGATCTGAATGACGAAGCTATTTAAATTCTCATGTCAATATTTTGATCTCGTACCATTTTACGTTGTTGTACAAAGTTACCCCTAGCTCAACCTAATCCATGTTCATTTTCCTTATTTCTTACACTAAATGTGTTATAGTTGATCCATCCGCCAAGGTATTTGAAGTGTTTGGTTTTTATTTCCACATGCTGAAGTTTTATAATGTAGGTACCATCACTGCTTTCATTCCAATTCCATATGATAGCTTATATTAGAATAGTTTATCTGAAGACCTATTTCTTAGAACACTTGGTGTAGAATGTTGATCTTTTTTCATTCTTATACCAACTATGTACACCTGTCATCAACATCGACCCCCGCTCAGCCTTAGTACACTGTTCGCTAGAAAGAAAACAAGAGGTTTGTTTTCTTTGTACACATTCGTTTGGGACATGGTACTGTATTTATAAATGTTCTAGACTGACTCCAAAAATAATGATATTTAATGGTCAAGAGAAAGGGCTAAATTTGAGTAAGATAGTAAACTTCTGCGCTTGCTTCCAGCTAATATTTTGTCTTCATTTCAATAATGAATTTATGAAATTTGTCACGATGTTAAGCATAAAAAATAGAATCTAACCCTGATACTAGTATCTGCATTACTGTAGTCACCAGTTTTCAATTAAAATAGAATGCAAATTTTGTGAAATCCACTTAGAGAATTGCGGACCATAGAATATCAGGTCTTTAATATGCAACATTTTCCTAAAACTTTTCACTTTTTATATATATCCCATGTTAATACTAAAATACTCAAAAGTTATAAATAGAATCTTCCAAATGGAAGAGCCTGTCAAGAAAGTCGGTAGTAGAAGTATTAGTGTTTGATTAGGTTTAATTAGCGTCTTTAAAATGGGTTAAAGAGCAATCTGGTTGATAATTATGACTATGTTGATTTCGATCCTAATTGAAAACCTCATACTTGTGGCCTTGTGTCAAAATAAACTAGGCATCTGGACTTGGATTAATAAATAGTTTGTTTGATCATTACCACTGGATGGCTTTCTTGTAATCTTATGGACACTAGTAAAGACTTCATAGAGACATTATGGTATGTCTTGTTTTAGTATAAGTAATATTGTAGTTTGTTTGGGCCAGTTATTGTGGCTAAGTGAAATATAGGTCAGTTGAAGACCAGCCTTCCCAAACCCCTCAAGGTCATCTGCTACATAAAAAAAAAAACGTAATTAATATCGCTTTCTTATAACTTTATGTGAAACTGAGCTAGAGATTCAATGTGTGCTTGTTAGCTTATCTGGCTGACCAATACTAATAAATACTTCTGGACTTATGATTGCTTTTTTTACTGTTTATCAACTCTATGTTGGTTAAAGTTCAACTATTCTTTGGATTGTAAAATTATTTTTTGTGAGAGAATATTGCATTAATGAGAATAACAATTATTTTTCAAAATACAATTCTTACTATTTAACACATAGCTGGGGGAGAAGAGATGGATTTATACCTTTCCCAGGGGTAATTGTGTGTAAGTGAATGTATTGAATCCACTGGAATTCGAACTGAGTACTTCGATTTCTCATTCCTAGCTGTTATTCACTGCTTCACCCGCACACCAATTCCATGTAACAAATTAAAAAAAAAAAAAAAAACTTTCGATTTTGAAAGAAATTAAAATTGTTTTATTTTTCTATTATTCCTCTTCCTTATTTTTTCGACTATTACTTTTAGCATTTTTTTAATTTCCGGAATATTTTATTTTTTTCACATGATTTTAAATTTTAAGTTTTCAGTCAAAAGAAAGATCCACTTCCTTTGAATGAGAAAAGTTTGAACTTTAATACGTTGTACCCTGAAACTTTATTATGATAAAATTTATTTTAATTATTTTATTTATTTATATATATTAAATAGGATCTAAATGTTTAATCATTCTGTTTGTTTTTCCAGTTATTTATTGTGTTGCAACTGATTGCATCAGAAGTCTTGCCTAGATACTGAATAATTTACGGAATAGTAAATGGAAGTGAGAAGAGAAAAGGTAAGTACATAATTTCAATTTATTTATTCTTTACTCACGCAAATGGTGTTAGGACGTTTTCAATCCGATCCACTAGCTAAAACCTAAATAAATAATCTTCTTTAGACCAAGAACATTTCAACAGCACCACGTCTATTTACATTATTCGGACTATTGTCCTTATCTTTGTTGCCATATTTATCACAATGTTCACTTCGACATTCCAACCACCTGAAGAAGAAATGTTGTAATAAATATGGTGACAGAGATGAGGACAATAGTTCGAATAATATAAATAGTGTACATAATACCTCATCTCAGAAATATAGGTAGATCAACACATCTATATAAATACAGGGGGTATTTGTGTCTGTTCCCATATATGATAAAATATTTTTTCACTTATTTCAATATCACTGATTTTTATGGAATCACATCCAATCTTCAGGAAACTTCATAGTAAAATGGATTAATTTTTAGATATCATATTTTCCTTAACCCTGCATTAATAACTTAAATATTTTGTTACCCGCAAATTTTTAAAATACTCGTAATTCTTACTTGGTCGCATGTTTCTTTTTGCTCCCTCCTACAACTCCATGAGGGTGTGTAGCATGCGGTGTGGACCAGTTGTAGCAAAGCTGTCGTCGGAGTCGGGACACCAAGGGACCTTATTTTCGGAAATCCGAGTTGAGTGACACGTTATTTGTATCTGTGACATCAATACTTAAAATCATGATTTGCTTGGTGTATAATTACAACTAATAAGCGAAAAATTAATTCATAATATTATCATTAATCAATGTCTTGATATCAAGCATTTTATACAGAGTTCGATGGATAAAGTTGTCTAAATCATGTAAAAATGAAAATAGCACTGACCTCATTTTAACATATATATTTAACAATATTACAAAAAATATCTTGAAATATTAAAGAGTAAATTTATTCCCTACTAGTATTAAAAAGTGCTCGATATACATATAAAAAAGAAAAAAATTAACATGTAAAGCTATTAAGTATAGAAAATAAAGAAATCGGCCGCTACCTTAATTTCAACCTTTCGGTATCTTTCAGTAGGAAACAATTGACCGAAATCACCTCCAAATATCGAAAGGTTGGAACC